CATATAACCCGCGGGTTATATGGGTGAAAATACGGTAGTTCCAACCTTATGGTGAAGAGAGGGGAATCTGATAGATACCACTCCTTTTAATTTCCCTTCATGTCAGGTTTTTTCTTTTACTGATTATCTCTCGTTTTGGAAAGGCCTAAAAAAGGGAGGGAGTGCCCCCAGAAAGCAGATGGGCAGGGCTAATATTCCAGACTATCCTTGATGTACCCATCCCTCTGTCAGACACAACATTCAGCCAGCTCTCATATTGACTTAAATATAATCTGTCCTTTTGCCTGCAATGGAAGTTTTAAAACTATGGGATAGCAAATGCTGGCCTTCTGCCTTGCCAGTTGGTTATCAGTAGGGCTTTGAACTTGTCAAAGCACTTCAGAAGATGGAGATAATAATTGTATCCATAACAGGGATTAACTAAGTACAGTTGATACAGGTTGATTAATACTATGTATTTCTAAGACTTCATATTTTACCAATACTACTAGCTTTACATTATATATGAGTTCCATTTAACAGACTTATGAAATAGGGAACTATTTATACATACCTGGTCCAGTTTGACATCTTCGACCACTTTCAAATGAGAAAAGATTGGAATCATAGCCATAACGGCGCAGACAGAGGTAGTGCCACTTGACAGAATCCCGTTTACGGGTATACAAGATTAATTCTGTATCTGTAAGTTCCATTATACCAGAACCCAATTCATTACCATCATCATCCACATTAATAACCTAGAAAATACATTTTTCAGAAAATAAACATGATTTACACAATCAAACTCAAATATTTATTTATATACATCCATATACTTTACTAAATATAATTGAGCAAATATTTATTAAAAACTGCTAGATAACAGAAAATAAACCTAGCATAATTGTAAGAATAATACATAGTTAATTCCAGAATATGAAAATGTTTCTCCATGCAACAAAATATATTTCACATCTTTCCATCATCCATTTCAGTGGGTTTAAGTAGATATAATTTATCCCAAAGATTTGATGATATGAATTATGATATCAACTGTTCCTAATCTGAAAATATTACAAAAGAAAATATCCAAATAATCCATGTGGTAAATAATAGAGATATACATTAAGTAGCAGATAAAGGAGTATGATATTTTGCAATTATTTCATTACAGTGCTCAAAATTTATGAGCATTAGTTCTGCATTGATGGGAGTTATAGTCCAAAGTATAGCAAACACAGACTGCCTAGCACTGTATCTCAACCTTACTTAGCTCTCAATTTAAGAATCAACTTGAAAATAGAGTCAGTATTTAAAAATTACTTCAAAAATCTCCATCATTCCTTACAATTAATTTTTTCCCTTTGTCAATCCCAAACCAGAACTTGCATTCAAAAGTTTCCATGTAGAAATGTACCTTAAATTTGTTCCGATGGTTATCAGGGACTGCTTCTTTATCAGGACAGCTACAACAGCTACCCATGACTTCTTTAGAAGACCGTGTGATTACTATAGCAAAGAAAAAAGAATTGTTTTGAAGACAAATGCAATAAAGAGAATGGAAAATGAAGTGCAAATAATTGCAACATATTCAAAAAACATGATAGATATTATAAAAGCAGTATGAAGAGATCAAATGTAAACTGTCTTAAATATATTATATCTAATGCTTGAATAATGAACACAGAATTCCATATTTCTAAAATATTGTATTTTTTAATAATAACTCATTTGATAATGCTGTTGATGTTTCCACATACAAAAGGAAAGGTAACAAGGATGATTGCAAAAATTGTATGAAACTTAGTCTATTAAGTATGCCTGGGAAAATACTGAGCAGAATTTAATGAAACTGAATGTTTTTTGGAGTGAGGGACAGGAGGCTCCAGTAGTGGTATTATCACACCCAATTGGCCACGAGACTGGGATGAAGCTGAAGCCACGCCTCTGTGCTCCACTCTTGACTTCCAGTTTCATCTCAGTCTGGCTAGAGACAAGACATAAAATTTTGACTCCTGATCTTTATCACTACTGGACCCTCCTTGCCTCTGCAGCCTCCTTGCGAAACAGCTCCCTTCTCCTGCCAGTAAGTTGCCTGACTGTGGCTTCCATTGCTGGCCACTACGGAGAGTGCCTTGTTTGTTGAGGGCTGAGAAGGCTCTGTCGCCATTGCGGTGGCCATTTTGAGCGGCGCTTTTGAGGTCTCACTACTGGAGATTCCTGTTCCTCACTCTGGAAAATAGCAGTTGGTCTTACCTGAACTGCTATTTTAGGAGTTGGGAAAGGAGGCTCCAGTTCCCGCCCTATGTTAGCTAGATAGCTGGTGGGGAGTGAGATTTCTCCTTTGTGCCTTGTTTTCAGGTCTCGGGAGAGCTCGCTTCGATGAAACTGGAAGTCAAGGGTGGAGCACAGAGGGGTGGCTTCAGCTTCATCCCAGTCTCGTGGCCAATTGGGCGTGATAATGCCCCTACTGGAGCCTCCTGTCCCAACTCCTAAAATAGCAGTTCAGGTAAGACCAACTGCCAATTTGCAGCAAACGTTACACTGCTTGATGCAACAAGGAGTACAAACCTTAAAATGGAAAAGTAAAGCAAATGCTGCAGGTTTTACACAAATAATGAAAAATTAGAGCAAATAGATCAATGTATATACCTTGGTAGAATGTTTTCTAAAGATGGGGAAAGGGATGGAGGAATGTTAAGATACATACATGTTCTGGTAGAAAGGTAATATCACTTTCTTTAAAAAAGGGTTATAGCTAGAATACATTAGTAAACTGGCAAAGGTGCTTACTTGCCACAAAAATTAAAGCTGGAAAAACCACAATTTGTATTTTTAGCTAATTAAAAAGCACAATAAAAAACTCTGTTGCTCTGTTGTTTTGGGGCAAGCTACTGACATTCTATCTATGTACAGAACAGGAAATATAGTAACAATTGTATACCTTATAATTCATATACAAGATGATTTCAGATTCTGATAGAGAAACATCTCACTGAAAGTAGATATACTCACCTAGATTTGCCCATTAATATTCGTAGCCTCTGGTATAGCAGCAGTAATCCTTTCATACTTCAAAACATCGTGTTTTCTTTCCAGATAGTTGAATAAAAGTTTGAACAAACTGTAAAATGAATTAAGACAACAGCTTTAAATAAAAAAACTGCCTCTAAAATAAAAGTGATTACTATTCTGTTCTGAACTATTACTAATTATTCCTAATGAACAGCTACTATAGGGTATATGTTTCTTGTTTATATATAAAAAACTACTTTTTGAATTCAGTGTACAACAGAAGACATTCCACTCATCTTCTGTTGAAGTATGTTAGATTATAACTTTTGCACATCCATTTTAATAGCAATAACACTTAGACTTGTATACCGCTTCATAGTGTTTTATTGCCCTCTCTAAGCTGTTTACAGCATATTGCCCCCAACAATCTGGGTCCTCATTTTACCAACCTTGGAAGGATGGAAGGCTTAGTCAACCTTATGATAGAACTAGCCTGCAATACTGTATTCTAACCACTGCACCACCATGGCTCTTGTCTGATAATAGAGCATATATAAGAAAAGTTATAGGTATTTTGCTTCCAGCAATCTTGACTTCTGTATAGTAAATACCACTGCACAATCAACATCATGCTATTAAAAGCTAGCTATGTAGGGTTGATTCCTCTACATTCTGTTACAGCGGTCAACACTCATCCCTCAAGATATTGGACTGCAATTCCTGTCATCCTGTACCATCTAGTATAATGGCTAAAGGGTTGTAGTTCAACATTAAAGAGCTCCATATTGCTTTCCTCAGCCTAATTTAGTAAATCATGTGTAATAGCTTATATTGTACTTACATTACATTAAAAATAGACATTAATATTTTGGAATCTATAACACCTCACATACTTTGGATAGTGAAATATATGAAAATATCATTTACAATAAAACAGGTGTAGAAAGCTGGAACATAGTCAAGTTTATGGGTGACAAATGTAAGAATGAAAAAACTGGTCAACTACCTTATAACAGTTTCTCTTGTGCGGGCAGTAAAGATTTTGTTATGTAATTTAATGAAGAAAATAAACTCAAAATCCTCAAATATTCAATGTACAGACAATCCTTGCTTACTAACTGCTCATTCAGCAACCATTCCAAGTTATAATGGTACTGAAAAAGGAAATTTATTATAAGTCCTTGCATCTGGGGCTATCAAAGCATCCCAGTGGCCTTGTGGCCAGAATTTGGGTGCTTAGTAACCAGTGCACATTTACAATGATCAGAGGGTCTTGCAATCATGTGACCACCATTTGTGAGCTTCACAGTCAGCTTGCAACAAGTGAAAAAATCAAAGGGGAAGCCAGCAGGTCACAAGTCATGGTCATGTGACATTACACTTAATGACTATGATGAGTCACTTAATATCTGCATTCCGAACTGATGCTGTAAGTTGGGTGTGGTCATGTGATGTTTCACTTTACAATAATGTTGCTTAGCAGAAGATTTGCCTACTGTGGTTGGTAAATTAGGACAACTATAAAGGAATGGAAAAACAATTCAGTAGTAATAGTTTAGACCAGGGATGTCAAACTCAAGGCCTGTGAGCCATGAGGTGTTTAGACCTGGCCCGTGGGGCCACCCTGGAAACAGTGAAGGACCGGCCCGCAGATCCTCAGCCAGCGAAAATGGAGCCTGGGGGTGGTGGTGGACTGAATGCAGCCCTCCCAAGCTCTGTTTTCACTGGCAAAGCACTCGGGCCACCACAGGTATCCTGGGCATAAGTGATGTCAAGCTGGCCATGACCACCCTGGCCATGCCCTTCTGACACCCCCGCCCAAAGGTTAAACACAACCCTGATGTGGCCCTCAATGAAATATTTGACACCCCTGGTTTAGACAATGAACAGGAAACCACTATATAGGTTTGACTTAAAAAAACTATATTTGTACATCTAGCCATCTCTCACTAAACCACATTTTAGCCTTTGATCATGATAATCTGATTAGGTTCTAATACTTGTGTGGATTAATACCTAGATTCTAATATTTAAGTAGCAAATTTGAATTAGATTCTATTTATTTAATCCGTTTGAAAAGCTGCCTATCTCAACAGCAAACAACAACAAATAGTATAAAAACAATGATATTTTGAATTCAAAAATTATAATATATAGCATCTGAGAAAAACAACAGTCAGCAGTGCTAATACATCCAAGAGGCAGGCTCTTTCACACACACTCAGGGTCCCAGGCCTGGGCACAGAACCTGGTCTTTACTGGGCTACAAATAGACTGCAGAGTCAGGGTCTAATCTCCATATGGCGGGTGTTACAGTGGAAAAGGAAGGACTCTTCTTGGCCCTTGTCAACCAGTATTCCTTAGCCAATGCATGCCCATGCTGCCCTGCCGAACCAGACTGGAGGAGTAGAAATGAAATTGTCTGTTTTTAAACCTCAAATTCTTGCATTAGAAAAATCTATCAAGGGAGGAGGAGAGACATATGTTAATATTAAATTCAACTATTAGAGTTGAAGGGCATTAAAACCTTGCCCTTGTCATGGTCTGATCACTTCCTGCTGAGGCTTGACTTTCGGAGGCCAATCCCCCACTGTAGGGAGGAGGAACCGATTAGGTGGTTCCGCCCCAGGCGCCTGATGGACCCAATGGGGTTTCAGACGGCGCTTGGAGAAATACCTGACACTATCGTCCACAATCCGGTGGAGTCCTTAGTCGCTGCTTGGAATACAGCGGCGGCGGGGGCTCTAAACCGGATTGCGCCTTTGCGACCTCTCTGAGGCGGTGGATCCAGGAGGGCTCCTTGGTTCACCGAGGAACTCCGGGAGATGAAGCGCCAAAAGAGA